CAAAAACTTCCAGGGGCTAATAATTTGGAAGCTAGAATCTATGTCTCACATTGAGACATTTTATCTGCATACAAAAGTTGTGAGAGGGGCTAGAACCCTAGAGGCATGCTTCATTGGCTTGGCTTTGAAAGTGGCAACTGAGTGGTAGAACCTGATGCCTTAGGTCAGAGTATTGGTTGGGCCCATGCAGTGAAACTGAGTGATTCTGAAGGGAGTTAGTGAACTGGTGGCAATTGAGGTAGAACAATCATCCCAGGGCCTTGGAGTTAGGTGAGGGCAACTGTGTCAGGAGAGATACATGCAATACGTTTGAGATAGAAGCTCATGATAACTTTAAAAGATAATGTTAAACAATGTTTATTTTTTTCAATCTGAAAAGATTCATGCTGTAGCCAAAAGGTGGTACTCATAGAAAGCAAAACGTAGGCTATATGAGTTAGGATACTGCTAGAGAACACATATAACTTCCACCACTTTCCGTGAGCTGAGACAGCTTTTTGAACACATTTAAGTTAAAGAGAGGGAAATAAGGTTTAGCTGTATTCCTGGGGAGAGAAGTAAATTGGTTTTGGAGAGTCAGTTTATGTCACATAGATAATATTTAACAGTGGAATATTTCTAAAGTATTGTAGCAATGGTCTTTTAAGTAGTTATTATTTCTTTTTAGAGGTTAGTCTGCAGTATGTCACAGAATTCACAGATGTTTGGCCAGATGTAGGATTTTTCTGGTAACTTTCATGGATTTAATTCAAAATTAGAAAAGAGTGAAGCAATAAAGATAGGAAATTGGATATCTCAGAATATTCATGTCATGCTACACATGAGTCACATGTTGATAAAATTTAGGTTGCTAATTTCTTTTATATACTCTAACATTCAGGTCAAGAGGATATTGTTACTTTTCTATAATGTTGAAATGGCAACATAGCAATAATTAATTTGCTTATTAAAACTGAAGATTAATTTTTATGTGGTGAGAGCTATCACCTATTAAGTGGATTTTATTTTGATCCATTTAATGTATTTCAATATAAAAATTTATTCTTGCATATTTATGAATCACTACATATTTTATAAAGATATGATTCAGTTACTGTTACATAAATTTGTTATGTTACAAATTTATGTTATTGTTACTGTTACATAAATTATGCTCATTTTTGGATTTCTCTCACTAGTGTCCAATATAATACCTAGCACATATCAAGTGAGTAATTGATTGGATTAAGTTCCACGCTCAACTTCAAACTTTGTTTAGAACAAGCTTCCAAAAGCCTGAGCAGTCATCCAAATCACCTGGGAACTCAAATCCTAGAGACTGATTCAGTAGGTCAGAGACAAGGGAATGCTTATTTTCAAAATCTTATCAAACACAGAATGATACAGTTCTATTGAAGGGAATTTGGCAATAACTAGTAAAATTTTACATGGATTTACCCTTTGATCTAGCAATCTCATGTCTAGGGATCTATTTTTAAAATAGACGACAAAAATATGCAATTTTAGGTGAGTAAACAAGGCGCCAAATGATGAACATAGGCTCTCTGTTCTGGAAGAAGTGGAAAAAATACAAACATATATTTGCTAATATTCTCTAAAAGAAATAATGGAAGAATGAACTACAAATTAATAAAAACTGTTACTTTCTAAGGAAGGGGAGAAGGAACATTTACATACAAATCATTGAACATCATGTAATTATTGGTATAATAGAGACGTATACATGGTCCTAAGGAAGCACAAAAGAGGGAGCATAAAAGCTCTCTATGAGGATTGTGCCTGGTATAGATTTGGATATGCTGCTACTCAGACACTTCAGTTCTGTCCCGTTCTGCAATCCTGTGGACTGTAACCCACCAGGCTCCTCTGTCCATGGGATTCTCTAGACAAGAGTATTGGAGTGGGTTGCCATGCCCTTCTCCAGGGGATCTTCCCAACCCAGGGATTGAACCTGGGTCTCTTGCATTGCAGGCAGATTCTTTACTGTTGAACTTTACTGTTGAATGAAGCCCAGATTGGGATATAATGCTCTTTAAAAAAGCAGAAATGTGTATTTAACAAACTCTTTACAAAATGCATTTAATGAAGTCCTCTTGAGTACAAATAAATCAAGAGTTTAAGTCTGAGTTTATCTGATTTGAACTTCTTCTTCGCTTGGTTTATTCTTTGACATAGCTTCCAGTTTTCAAGTTGGAACTATTAAGGACCTCTATAAAGATTTTTCAATTTAAGATAATAACAGCAAAGTCCTAGCATAATGATATTTTCAGTGTGAAAGCACCACCATAATAATGACCATAGTGTGGTCTGCATAAAATAAATAATGTTATTCATGTAGCTGACAGGAGAGAAGATAAAAGTCAATAAAAAGAGAATTATTTATTAAAAAGATCTAATGTTACAAGAACAGTACACAGAACTATTTGACTGTGCCTTCCACATGGTATATACCATTATATATAGTATATATACAGATTGTATACAATATATTTAATGGTTTGACATGGGGTCCACAGTACCTTCATTTGGGTATGCAAAACATTCAGTTTCATGAAAATTTTAATAATGGGGAGTCTTTTTTTATTCATAGTTCAACTGACATTATACAAAAATACAGTCTCTTTAGTAATTTAAGACTGTGTAGTTCCTATTCCATCCAAGAAAAAGCTCACTGAGTATAATGTACCTTGATAAGGAATGATGTTCTGCTTTCTACAAAGTAATAGTATGTAATACATAAACACATAAACATTTTAAACCTGTTTTTTAACAGCTTCATGATGCAAAATACATATTCTGTGAATATTGAGTGAAACCATTCCATATCACTGATTTCTTTAATACTTCAGACATTCTACATTTAAGTATTCTGTCAGATATACACCATCAATCAGCTAGTCAGAAATATTGGTTAGATTGAATTTTCCATATACTGACATTATATTTCATTGGGCTTTGTTTTATAACTCAGTTCTTAAAGTCCACTGTCTCATTTGAAACACCATGGAAAATGAAGAAAGTGATTTGATTTATCAAATATGAAGTAAAAGTTATTGCCCATTCTTTAATATTTTTGCTGCATTTTTCGGACGTACAATCTGCTTCTGCAAGCTATGTCATACTTGAGAGAGCTCCTATTTGCCTGCTAAACAATTAGCATTCTCTCTATATGCAAAGTCCATTCTCTCCCGCTTCAAAGGAGGTGCTCAAGGAAGGCCACTTGGTTGTCCTTTTCACAGGTTTGATATCTACCATCTGTGGTAATAAACTACAATAATCTATTAACCAAAAGAGTCTTCTTAATCACTCCTTGTTTGTTTAGGGGTGTTTTGGAAATAATTCTCCTCAGAGAGAGGGAGTAACCAATGCAAGAGTGGTCCTGTGTCTCTGAGACCAGTCTCTGAGGATGTTCAGAACAAAAACTCTAATCTTTCTTCTGATTCTATAAGGATTAACCTCTAAAGCTAGCAATTTAGTTCAATACTGCTTCATTTTGCTTGCTATTAAAAATGTGAGCATTAACAGGTTTAGAATTTACAAAGAAAGAGAAAGGAATCAACCTTTTGTTATCATATTAACAACACCTGTAAAGTGGTAGTTTCTCCAGGCTATTGTTTTGGCATATGACTTTGCAATAACTATCCCTTCAGGCATCTCCTTGGGTCTAATGTGAACTCTGGCTATTCTCGTATTTGTTAGAATGTCTGTAAGAAGTTATCACATGTAAAACTTTCACCTCACTTTCCAACAACTACCAAAGATCAAGTTCAAGTTGTTCAAGTTGATCCTCAAAGAGTAAATGAGTATAACCTCTCAAGCAGTAGATGGCTGGAAGAAATAGCTGAGCCACTGTACTGAGGTCATGTTTCCACACACAGCTTAATTTTTAAAAAAACTCAATTTATCCAAGAGGTCCTTATTTTAATAGTCAGTAAGATTTTATTAATGGCTTGTAATGTATGAAATTGTTTCTAAAAAATCAACATTTGTTATGCTTCACCATTTTAATCCATAGACTATCTGTATGTAAAACTACTTGTAGAACAAAGTTTCATTGTCCTTAAAGTTATTTGCCGTTAGAAGAAAACCTTGGGCCTAATTCAACACCTTTTTTGGCAATAGGTGGGGAAATGGAAAGCTCTTTTACTCATTTTCAAATTAGCACCCTTGGCAGCATGTCAGTATCTGCAGCCTTTAGTGATCATCTATACATGTATATATAGTGACTTTAAATTATCTTTTGTTATTAAAAATAAACATTTATTATATTTTCAGCTAGATAACATAGTACTTGATGAAAGCAATAGCACTTCAGTTCATTTGGACTCACTTTCTATTTACCTTGCACTAATATAAATGGCTTGCTCCCTACCCTAATAACTGGCTCTAGGGATGCATATAGAATAGCATTTGACAAATTTTGCTATTTCATAATGCAATCATTCAATATTTTTGTGGGAAAATTTTTGTGTACTATCCTATAATTGACGACACAATTGAAGTATTTTTTTGTATTTCCTGCTGGCTTGTCGATTGGTATAGTCAGATGAAGGAAAAATTAAAAACAGTAGACTTGGAATATTAAGTGAATTTTTCATTCTGTTTTGTATTTGTGTTTGAAACAGATCTGCTGGAGACCACCTACTTAACAAATGGATGGCACACACTCAGGGTCATCAGATACAAAATCAAATTACAACATACTAAAAAAGTAAAGAATACATTTGACAGAAATTACTTTTATTTACAAAAATTCATTACATACAATCTGCATATTTTTATTGGACCAAGAACTGTCCTATCCATTTACAAAAACCAAAAAAAAAAAAAAAAAAAACCTGATGGATAAGTAATATCCCCTCAATCTCCTGTAAGTGCACCATGTATAGTTCCAAGTTTTTAACGTTCATCTCAAGGTCCTGAGTTTCCAGTTACATTACTACTCTATTCAGTGTAGTTATCAAGCTAAAGTGAAGAAAATCAAATTAAGTCTGAAGTTTTCACCAAGGGGTTGAAGGAATCATCAATGCCAAAAGCAATGTTACTGATGAGGACATGGAGAGAGTGTGGAGGGCTGACTGAGCACTGGTGATTTTCCCACCTGTGAAAAGGAGAAGCATTAAATGGACAGAATTATTTTGGCTTTGTCTGAGCCATGATAAACTCATTTTTTAGGTATGTTAAGACAAATGAATGCAACATCAATCCTGTTTCTGATAAGAACATTCCTTGTGTTTAGGAAACAAGAGGTTGTCTGGGGTTCTCAAAAGATGCTGAGGGCAGAAGTGTATATGGAATAGTGTGTTTAAAAGGCCGTGTCACATTGAACAAATATGTCTAATCAAATATATATATAACATCAATCAAGTATATCTAAAACAAATATATCTAAGTGTGACTTTCAACAATGAGACACTGATGGAAAACATCCCAAATTCCAGGTATGAAAATAAAATAATTTCTATAGTGCAAAATTCAGGAAATGGAACAAAAATAATTAGCAAAAGTTTGTGGCAACTAGAATTCACAATTCAATGAAATAAATTTTTAAATTTAATCATAAGATGTTATTTATGTGTGGATCTTTAATTGATTTTACAATGAGCAGGCTTAAATTCTGCATTTGTTTGAATTGAGATTCTCACATCAAACTCTGCAAGGAAGAGGCATCTTTCATTACTCTGGCCAGGGATTCCCAGGTGGCGCTACTGAGAAAGAACCTTCCTGCCAATGCAGGAGACATAAGAGATGCTGGTTTGATCCCTGGGTTGGGAAGATCCCCTGGAGGAGGAAATGACAACCTCTTCCAGTATTCTTGCCTGGAGAATCTCATGGACAAAGGGGCCTGGCAGTCTGCATTCCATAGGGTTGCAAAGATTTGTACATGACTTCCATCTTGAGACAAAAGCATTGTATGTAGTTAATGTATTGGGGTGTCTGCCTGACTAAACTCACTAATTTGGATGGATTTTTGTAAAGTATTTTTGATAGCTCCATAAATTCACAAACTAAGTATCATTCTTAGATTTTCTGTAATGGTTATTCAAGCCAGAAGTCTTGGGACATATCATCATCATGATTGATTTCTAATGAATGCTTACTATATGCCGAGTACTGTACTAAGCCCTTTATACAGACTATCTTATTTGATCTTCACAACATTCCTATATAGTATGTGCTATTGTTTATCCCAGTGTTGCAGATGATACAGGGGCTCTAAAAGATGATAGAGACTTGTTTAAAGTTATTGAGTTAGGGATTAGGGGAAAGAGGTGCTTTTATGTGTTATCTCTATTAAAACAATGATTGGCCTTAATTAAAACCATAATGATAGATTAATAATAAAATGTACCAACCAAGTTTTGGAATCATCCTTCTGTCAAGCTATCCTCTCTGGCCAGACTGAGTGCAATAGAATTCTGGGTGTGATTTTTGTTACAGGATAGACTCTGTTTATTTTCCAGACATATTTAAGAACTGAAGAAACCTGTGTTTTGTAAACCACACATATATACACTCAAAGCAGCAAATCTTCTCTCCTTTGAAAATTTTTACAGCTAAGGTGCTAATAAAATCTATTAATCAACATATTGGAGAATGTTACATATATTTCAACTTGTACAAAATGGGGTCATTGTGAAGTGCATGGCCACATGTGAGCTATAAGAAAGGTTTGATGGCAAAGCCTCACTGGAGTGTGCATGCATAATAAATAAAAACTATGAAAGCATTCTTTCTATTTATATGAGAGTGGCTGCATCCTTGTTAAATCAACTTACATGACACTTGTGCAAAAAATCTCCTCACTTTCAGAATGTTAAGTAGGGTCTATATCTCAAATTCCACATAGAATCCATGAAAGCAAAACATGCTATTTCAGCATACCAAAACACAAGCAACAAAAAAACATTGAGTCAATTTCTAGTCTCAGATATAAAACTAATTAACTATTTCACTTGAGCAGGTCATTTAGCTTCTTATGCTTTTGGGTTTTAGAAAAGAGATAAGAATGAAACCTATTGTTGCTCCTGTTTTATGGGTCTAAGACAATACCAGGAGATTGCACGTTATTAAAGCTCAGGAAATGGGTTGACTGGACAAAGTATTATCAACTGAAACATAAACATTGATAATTTTACTTGAGAATGATTGCTCAATAAATAATGCTCACGTGCTGTGCTGTGCTTTGTCACTCAGTCTTGTCTGACTGTTTGCAACCCCATGGACTGTCGCCTGTCAGGCTTCTCTGTCCATGGGATTCTCCAGGTAAGAATATTGGAGTGGGTTGCCATGCCTTTCTCCAGGGGATTTTCCTGACCCAGGGATCAAATCCAGGTGTCCCTCATTGCAGGTGGAACCGAGGTCTGCTGCATTGTGGGTGGATCCTTTACATCTGAGTCACCACAGAAACCCAAATAATAATGCTCATAATTACCCATTAATTAAATGTACATTAAGCATTTTTAATTTAAGGCTTCCATAAAAATTGCCTAATAGTTTTTCAATGAGAGATTTATGTCTTTAATGTAATCTTTTGCTTTTTCTTTTCACATGCTCAATGAAATGATTACTTTCTTCTGAATTTGTAAAATCTCCCTTCTTTTAATCAGTTTTTCTCTTGCTGATATAATAATGGTGGCAGTGGGTGTTAATTCCAGTTCTTCCTCTTAGTGTTAATAAGAGTATTAATAAGAGTATTAAGAGTATTAAGAAGAGTATTAATTATAGTATGATCTTATGCAAATTACTTAAATTTTCTCTATAAAACAAAAAAATGCCACCTACCTCATAGATTGTTAAGAAAATTAAATAAGTTGTTAAGCATTTATGATTGTGTCAGACTTATAGCAAGGACTCACTAAAGGATAGAAATTATTAATATTGCTGATAATAATAATGATGTTCAGATAAGTTCTAGCAATCTAGTATACAGCATCATGATTGCAATTAATAAAATGCAATATATATTTGAAGGTTGCTAAGAATGTAAATTCAAAATGTTCTCACCACAAGGAAGAATTAGCAATTATATGGTCTGATGGAGGTATTAGCTATGTTTTTGCAATATATTTGCATACATATCTATAATATATAAGTGTATCATATCCACTTTTGTACACCTTAAATTTATACAATATTAAATTTCAATTATATTTCAAAATAAAGCTGGAAAAAGAAAAAATGCAATGAACTTTAAAATTTATTTTGAAATCAATAAACCTAATAATATTTTAATTTTAAAAAGCATTCCCTTTAAAATTTCCTGCCCCTCACTGTCCATTATCTAATGATAAAAGCAGTCACTACAATAGAGAAAGAAATATATTAAGCTAGAGCAACAGTGAAAGGCAAAGGAGAAAGGGAAAGATAATCCAACTGAATGAAGAGTTCCAGAGAATAACAAGGAGAGAGAAGAAAGCCTTTTTAAAGGAACAATGAAAAGAAATAGAGGAAAACAATAGAATGGGAAAGACTAGAGATCTCTTCAAGAAAATTTGAGATACCGAGGGAATATTTCATGCAAAGATGGGCACAAAAAGGAATAGAAATGTTAAGGACATAATGGGAGCAGAAGTGATTAAGAAGAGTTGGCAAGAATACACAGAAGAACTATACAAAAAAGGTCTTAATGACACTGATAACCACAAAGGTGTGGTCACTCACTTAGAGCCAGACATCCTGGAATGTGAAGTCAAGTGGGCCCTAGGAAGCATCACTACAAACAAAGCTAGTGGAGGTGATGGAATTCCAGTTGAGCTATTTCAAATCCTAAAAGATGATGCTGTGAAAGTGCTGCACTCAATATGCCACCAAATTTTGAAAACTCAGCAGTGGCCACAGGACTGGAAAAGGTCAGTTTTCATTCCAATCCCAAAGAAAGGCAATGCCAAAGAATGCTCAAACTACCACCCAATTGCACTTATCTCACATGTTAGTAAAGTAATGCTCAAAATTCTCCAAGCCAGGATTCAGCAATACGTGAACCGTGAACTTCCAAATGTTCAAACTGGTTTTAGAAAAGGCAGAGGAACCAGAGATCAACTTGCCAACATCCACTGGATCATAGAAAAAGCAAGAGAATTCCAGAGAAACATCTACTTCTGTTTCATTGACTACACCAAAACTTTTGACAGTGTGGATCACAGCAAACTTTGGAAAATTCTTAAAGAGATGTGAATACCAGACCATCTTACCTGCCTTCTGATAAATGTGCATGTGAGTTAAGAAGCAACAGTTAGAACTGGACATGGGACAATGGACTGGTTCAAAATTGGGAAAGAGTACATCAAGGCTATATATTTTCACCTTGCTTATTTAACTTATATGCAGACTATATCATGTGAAATGCCATGGTGGATGAAGCAGAAGCTGGAATCAAGATTTCTGGGAGAAATATCAACAATCTTATACATGAAGATGATACCACTGTAATGGCAGAAAGTGAAGAGGAGCTAAAGAGTCCCTTGAAGAAGGTGAAAAGGGATAGTGAAAAATCTGTCTTAAAACTAAACATTCAAAACACCAAGATCATGGTATCTGGTCTCATCACCTCATGGCAGATAGACGGGGAAACAATGGAAACAGTGACAGACTTCACTTTCTTGGGCTCCAAAATCACTGCAGATGGTGACTGCAGCCATGAAATTAAAAGATGCTTGCTCTTTGGAAGAAAAGCTATGACAAACTTAGACAGTATATTAAAAAATCAAAGACATCACTTTCCCAACAACGGTCCATCTAGTCAAAGCTCTGATTTTTTCCAGTAGGCGTGTATGGATATAAGCGTTGGACCATAAAAAAGGCTGAACGCCAAAGAACTGCATTTGAACTGTGGTGATGAAGAAGACTCTTGGGAGTCCCTTGGACAGCAAAGAGATCCAACCAGTCAACCCTATAAAGGAAATCAACCATGAACATTCATTGGAAGGACTGATGCTGAAGCTCCAATACTTTGGCTACCTAATGCAAAGTGCCCACTCATTGGAAAATCCCCTGATGCTGGGAGAGGTTGAAGGCAAGAGGAGAAAGGGATGACAGTGAATGAGATGGTTGGCTGGCCCCACTGACTCAATAGACATGAGTTTGAGCAAACTTAGGGAGCTGGACAGGGAAGGACAGGGATGCCTGGCATATTACAGTACATGAGATTGCAGAGTTGGACATGACTTTACAACTGAACAAGAGCAAAACTGGTTTAAAAGCAGTATTGCAAAGCCCACATGGCCAGCAGGGTACTTCTTGTGGTCAGGGAAGACTGGAGAATTTCACAGATTAAGGTATTTTAATGAGAATGTTAACTCCTTCCAAGATGTGTGGAAATTTCACAGTTGTGGGTGGGCCGCCATGGTTTGTATTAAGCAGAGGATCATATAGTAATCTGGCTTCCCAGGTGGCTCAGTCATAAAGAATCTGCTTGCCATTGCAGCAGATGTAGGAGATTTGGATTTGATCCCTGGATTGGGAAGATCCCTTGGAGAAGAAAAGGGCAACCAAGTCTGCTATTCTTGTCTGAAAAAATCCCATGGAGAGAGGAGCCTGGCAAGCTACAGTCCATGGGGTGGCAAAGACTTGGACACAAATGAGCAGGGAAGCATGCTCGCATATAAAAATCAGAGGATAAGAGTAGAGAACCTGCAAAGTCTCTGAACCATGCAACCCATCATGTTAATTTTGATGAGGTTTGCATCATGTTAATGTTAGTGGTTATCAAATTAAGCCTACTGTGTCAAAACTTACCTGAATATGATGGGACCCTGATTTGGGAACTAGCGGTTCCATCTCCTCCTTCACCATATGCTCGAACTTCAATAATATAGACTCCAGCGTCTGGGAGTGGGACTACTGCTTGAGGTTTCTGCGTTTCAATAACTTGACTGTTGCTGTGACCCTCTTGCCTATAAACAACCTGGAAATGATGACAAATTTTTAGTCATTTGATATTCAATCAGGGATTCCAAAAGTTTATTGACTGCCTCCTGTATACCACACTCTGAGCTAAGTAGAGGGAGCTTACAGCTTAGGCAGATATGCAAACCAATGCCATGTATATGTTATATGCAGCAATGGAAGTGTACACAAGGGGCTATGGGAATGCAGAAGAGAGTTTAATTCCCTCTGGTGGTTTAGGGAAGACTCCTAAGCAACTAAACCACCACCTAAGAGAAGGAGGTGCTGAGCTAAATATTTAAAGATAAGTAGAGCTCACCAGCTGGAGAAGGAGAGCAGAAAAATTTTACAGAGATAAGAGAAGATGAAAAATACATCTAAGTAATAAGAAAACAACAGCATTAGAAGACAATTGAGAATAGTGAGAAATTGAAGCCACAGAAGTAGGCAGTAAAGGGACAGATCATTGAAAATGTGTTATTCCTGGCTAATGAAGTGAATAGTATCCTGAGGGAGTACTCAAAATTGTCATCTGCAAATCATTTGAAAGGAGTAATCAAAATTTGTTAAATATATCAATAATAAAACCTTAACAATGTAGAAGATGGCTGAAAAGTTAAAAATAAAAAAGAGTATTTTTAGTTTTACTTTTGCATTTACTTTTTGGTGAATTGGCATTTGGATATATTGGGTAGCCAAGTTAAGGCTTTTTTCGTTTTAAAAACATATTTACTTAATTTATGTGGCAGTTCTCACTCTTAGTTGTGGCATGTAGGATCTAGTTCCTTGAATAGGAAGGTGAACTTAGGTCCCCTGCATTGGGACCATAGAGTCTTAGCCACTGTATAACAGGGAAGTTCCAAGTTAGGGCTTTTTTTTTGACATTTGTTCATGGTACTAGAATTGAACATATATTTATGGTTAACAGAGTTTTAGAAATACAGAGTATGACACAGAATTAGCTTGTGTTTACAGGTCAGTAATCTAAGGTTGTAAAGATTACACAATTTGTACAAGATTATATGGCTAGTTGTGGAAGTAATTGCATTAGAAGATTAGTAATCTGATGATCAGTTCAGAGGTGTCTCGCTGTATTATACTGTTTCTACTCATTTGCCCCCAATAAACTTATTTGTGTGTCTGTGAGTAATAGTCAAGTGGCAGCAATGAAGATTTTAAATGCATTTTTATTCAGTTTCATTGTTTTTGTGGTTTTTCATAATTGTTAGTATTTTGATTTCTTTGTGTAATAACGAGAACAATGATTTTGTATTCATACAGACCTGTATTCAAAACAGTCTCCTACAAAATAAAACAAAAACCAATTTCCTAAACATTTCAGTCTGAGCAAATTTGGGCAAGTTGATAACATTTCTCAATTTCAGGTGCCTATACTATAAAGAAAAACACATGTAAAAACGTCCAGCAAGGATCTGGTAAGCTTAAAGAGAAAGTGACTTCTTCTGTTGCTAATATTGTTCATTGTCAGTGGTCAGTATTTGCATCATAAAAGATTAATAGCATTGGGAAACTAGAAAAAATTATAATAGATTTTGCTTATTAAAAATGTGTTTGAACTTGACTAACCTACAAACAAGAAAAAAATTAAATGTAAGTTTCACATGTTGAAGCCTGCTTGTACTTAATCCTCCTTTTTGCATTCTGGTAACGTATGCTCCCTCCATCTTACTTTCTCTGTCTTTCATGGATTTGAGTTTGCTTCTGGTCATGGGAGAGAAGTAAATTCTCTGTAAAAGTATATAACATGTGCAATAATTCTATCTATTGAAATCCTTAGAAGGAAAGATGCTGTAGTTTCAACATAGTTGGGAAATGAAAAAAATCATGGAATATTTCAGTGGGTATCTCATGTAGGTCAGACACAGTGATATATACTGGAAATTTAGAGAATAAGAACACATGGTTCTGCTCTCATGGCATTTACAGCAGAGACAAACAATGCAATCAAGTGTTCTGTATACCACAATAGGAAACACATTTGATGCTATAGCCATTTACAGAGCAGGACAGATTTGGGAATCAGAAGCTCTTCTAGGAGGATCCCTATAGCAGGTTATTTTGGCTTTTAAAAAAAATGACAATTGTATCAGAATTTATGATTCTTATTTTGACTGTAGTAGCATAAAGAATTAGAATTCTGTTCATCCATATGAGATAATTAGAAAGCAAATTTATGGCAACAAAAAAGTATGTAAATTGGTGAGGATTGGCAGGGGAGTAACTATTTTAGAGGACATTGTTATTATGGTTCAATAAATTACAATTCTTATGACAACAAAAAATGCAGCCAGTAATGCATATCTAATGTTGCTGTAAAATCCAGAGTTGAAGAAAAATTTGTGGATCAGTTGAGATTTAGGAACAAAAGGTAAGGGCAGGAAATATCAGTTAATGGCAGCAAAAGGAGTTTGAGATTAAATGTGGCTTTTACCAATATATTCAGAGAGATGTAGTGCTATGAGAGAGTAAGTAGGTATACTAAGTGAAAAGATACATTAAATTAATGGTTAGTCTTAGTTGATTTAGAGAATATTCATTCATTGTAAAATTCTGATTTAGAAAAGATGAATACAAATGACAAATATGAAATGGTTAAGGGATTATCAACACATGTCAGAAATAGTTATTGACAGTAACAAGACCAGGGAGCACTTTGAGAATCTGGACATTTATAGATTGACTGTTATGATAATGACTATCTCCAGACATAAAGAAAAGTGTCTATTTTCAAGACTATTCTCAAATTCTACTTAAAAACCTGAGAACAGTGGGTTAGCGAAAGAGATGATTCTAAACAAACAATAATGTGGTACTGCTATTCTCAAAGGCATGATCTGGTATTGGCTAATCTGTACATCTTATGGTAAAAGTAATGGTGTGAGTGATTCTAAAAACATAGCAGAATAAATTTATGCTAGTTTTGCCCAGAAGTGCCTTTGGAAGGATGGATCTTATTAAACAAAAGGGCTATCCACCAGTACTTCCCAGTGGTGAAGCACTAAAGAATCTGCCTGCCAATGCAGGAGACACAAGAGACACAAGGTTTGATCTCTGAGTAGGCAAGATCCCCTGGGTTAGGAAATGGCAAACTGCTCCAGTATTCTTGCCTGGAAAATTCCATGGACAGAGGAACTTGGCAGGCTATAGTTCATGGAGTCGCAAAGAGTTGGACACAACCGAGTGACTGAGAACACACATACAGTCACCAGCTGAACATCTTGAGGACAATTGCTCTTCACAATATTGAGTGATGAATCCAAAGTCCCAGCAGCCATGGGTGGGTGAGGAGAAATCAGTGAGATACTAGAATCTGGGTGAAAAGAAGGTGGGAGAACAAGTAACAGTGAGAAGTCCCGGCTGTAAGATGACTACAAGGACATTTAAGAAGAGGATTTCCTGTCGGCAATTTCATATGTGTGTTTGCATGTTGTGCCTTTCAGTCTACTATCCCTCACTGACATTTCCATAAAGTCTTCTTTGTATATGTTATTCAGTTCAGTTTGGTCGCTTTGTTGTGTCCAACTCTTTGCAACCCCATAAAATGCAGCACACCAGGCCTTCCTGTCCATCCTCAACACCCGGAGTTTACTCAAACTTATGTCCATTAAGTCAATGATACCATCCAAGCATGTCATCCTCTATCATCCCCTTCTCCATCTGCCCTCAATCTTTCCCAGCATCAGGGTCTTTTTCAATGAGTCAGCTCTTCGCATCAGGCAGCCAAAGTATTGGAGTTTCAGCTTTAGCATCAGTCCTTCCAAAGAACACTCAGGACTGATTTCCTTTAGGATGAACTGTTTGGATCTCCTTGCAGCCCAAGGGACTCTCAAGAGTCTTCTCCAACACCACAGTTCAAAAGCATTACTTCTTTTGCACTCAGCTTTCTTTATAGTACAACTCTTACATCCATACATGACTACTGGAAAAACCATAGCCTTGACTAGATGGACCTTTCTTGGCAAAGTAATGCCTCTGCTTTTTAATGTGCTATCTAGATTGGTCATATCTTTCCTTCCAAGAAGTAAGAAGTGTCTTTTAATTTTAAGTCTACAATCACCATCTGCAGTGATTTTGGAGCCCCCCAAAATAAAGTTAGCCACTGTTTCCACTGTTTCCCCAACTATTTTGCAATGAAGTGATGGGACGGGATGCTATGATCTTAGTTTTCTGAATATTGAGCTTTAAGCCAACTTTTTCATTCCCTTCTTTCACTTTCATCAAGAGGCTCTTTAGTTCTTCATCACTTTCTGCCATAAGGATGGTGTCATCTGCATATCTGAGGTTGTTGATATTTCTCCTGGCAATCTTGATTCTAGCTTGTGCTTCCTCCAGTTCAGTGTTTCTCATGATGTACTCTGCATAGAAGTTAAATAAGCTGGGTGACAATATACAGCCTTGATGTATTCCTTTCCCAATTTGGAACCAGTCTGTTGTTCCACGTCCAGTTCTAACTGTTGCTTCCTGATCTTCATACAGGTGTCTCAAGAGGCAGTTCAGGTGGTCTGGTATTCCCATCTCTTTCAGAATTTTCCACAGTTTATTGTGATCCACACAGTCAAAGGCTTTGGCATAGTCAATAAAGCAAAAATAGATGTTTTTCTGGAACTCTCTTGCTTTTTTGATGATCCAGCAGATGTTGGCAATTTAATGTCTGGTTCCTCTGCCTTTTCTAAATCCAGCTTGAACCTTTGGAAGTTCACGGTTCACATATTGCTGAAGCCTGGCTTGGAGAATTTTGAGCATTACTTTACTAACATGTGAGATAAGTGCAATTGGGTGGTAGTTTGAGCATTCTTTGGAATTGCCTTTCTTTGGGATTGGAATGAAAACTGACCTTTTCCAGTCCTGTGGCCACTGCTGAGTTTTCCAAATTTTCTGGCATATTGAGTGCAGCACTTTCACAGCATCATCTTTCAGGATTTGAAATAGCTCAACTGGAATTCCATCACCTCCACTAGCTTTGTTTGTAGAGATGCTTCTTAAGGCCCGCTTGACTTC